TCAAATCAATAAACATATCAACTCCTTTTTAATATAATATGTTATGAATATGTAGCCATTTCTTTTTGATGGACATTCAGTTTGTTTGCTTTTCAGCCCTTGTGAACTTTGCAGTGAACTTTCGTGTGCATATGGCCTCATATACTAGTGCTTTATTACTGTAAGATCCATTCTGAAGAATGGCGTGGCTGGTTAGAATATGTATAACTTTAATTGTTAAAAGTATTACCACAGTACTTTCCAAAAGGTTATAGTGGTTTTCCACCAGCAATAAAAGTGAGAACCTCTTAACTTTCATTCTTGCCAGCACTGGATATTATTACTCTTGAACATTTTTGCCAATAAAATCAGTTAAGAAAATAAAAAATGGTATGCATTATAGTTTCAATTTGTCTTTATTAGAAAAAACAGCAATTTATTGAGAAAAATAATATATTGAGTTGGGTTTATACTGGCAAATGCAAGTGTGGTTTAATACTAGAAAATCTATTGATACAGTTAGTCATATCAGCAGTCAAAAGACAAAAATCATAAAACAATTTCAACAATACAGAAATCTAAAAAAAATATAGCATGCACCTGTGACCAGATCTCCTAGCAAACCAGAAACAGAGCAGCCTTTTACTTTTTAAATATTAAAATTTAATCATTTAATATTAATACTTGAAATTTTTTAATATTTAATTTTTTGAATACTTACATGGTTCAGAAATTAAAACATATAAAAAGGTTTGTACAGTGAGATCTCTCTTCCTCTTGTCCCCCATCTGCCTGGTTCTTCCCGCCTCCTCCCCCACAATCACTATTAGTTTCTTAGGTGTTCTTTCAGAGTCATTTTATACACATACAGGTGAATATGAGTGCATATCCTCTCTCTTGCTTTTTACACAAATGATAGCATACTATGTACTCTGTCATGCACCTTGCATTTTTCATGATGAAGTTTTTCTTTCTTTTTGGGGGGCCCGTGGTGAGGAAGATTGGTCCTGAGCTAACATCTGTTGCCGAACTGCCTCTTTTCACTTGAGGAAGATTGGCCCTGAGCTAACATCTGTGCCAGTCCTCCTCTATTTTTTGTATTTGGGATGCCGCTACAGCATGGCTTGATGAGTGGTGCATAGGTCCACCCCCGGGATTTGAACCCTCAAACCCCAGGCCGCTGAGGCCAAGGGTACAAACTGTGCCGTTGGGCTGGCCCCCTGATGAGTTTGTTTTAAAGGACATTTTTGCTCATTTCTGATAGCTTTCTAGCTATCTTCCTATTTATCTCTCTTTTTTTAACTATTGAACCCCTCAAATGTGGGACCTTACAGCTATTCACTAGTTATGGTCTAGTTGTTCCTCCCACAAATATTCACAAAATAAAAAAATACTGAAATTAGTCTCTTAAAGATCACCAATGCTTGGTCCTCTCTCATTAAAACCAGTGGCTGATTAGTCTTTGTGTTTGATTCTTTTGCTGTTCTTGCTCCTGATTACACACCCATGGTTCTTGGAACTCTAATACTTTGTGTTTCCTGAAGTACATTCTGTTATAAGTGTTCTTATAAAAAGAGGAAGGAAATAAGAAAAGGGTTGTGGAGGCACACAAAGATACGCTATAAGTAAGAAGATCTGTTACTTAACGTGTCTAAAGGAAAAGGATTCTCTGTGGCTCCTGAAGAGAGCTAGTACTTTATTTTGGGAGGTATCATGGTGTGGGGGAAAGGAAAGACTATGACTTAGAGAACCTAGATTTGAATCTTGACTCCACCCTCGACTAGCTGTATGACCTTGGACAAGTCACTTAACCTTTCTGAGCTTCAATTTCTTTGTCTGTAAAAGGGAAACTTGACCTATCTTTTTGTGTGTGTGGGTGTGTGGGCGTGTGAGAGGAAGATCAGCCCTGAGCTAACATCCGATGCCAGTCCTCCTCTTTTTTGCTGAGAAAGATTGGTCCTGGGCTAACATCCGTGGCCATCTTCCTCTGCTTTATATGGAACGCTGCCACAGCGTGGCCTGGCAAGCGGTACCTCGGTGCGTGCCCGGGATCCAAACCTGCGAGCCCTGAGCTGTTGAAGCAGAGTGCACGCACTTAACCGCTGCACCACCGGGCCGGCCCTTGCCTATCATTTTTATAAAGTGGTAATTAAATGGGAAAATATACATAAAAGTGCCCAGCATAGTCACTAACATTTTAATCAGTGAGAGGTTGTCCTCATTCCTAGGTCCGGAACTTGCAGATTTGAGGTATCCTACTACTAACCTTCAAGGGATGAATGTTGTCTTTGTGGAGCATGTATCAAATAAGATGGACCGCTTAGACCTATCAGCTCCGTCAACCCTTACTCCTTTTGATGGATATGGTAAATGATAGAGTCAGATGTCTTAAATGAATTTCTGTTAGCATTTAAATCCGGAAAGCTGAAGTGTTTGGCACAGGTGATGTATGTGTATATTTTTTTCCAGTTGGCTTTCTAGAGGAGGAGATGTAGTAAAAGTGTGGTTAGTTGGCTGTGATGAGTGTTGAAGAATAGAACTTTTTTTCCCTATGCTTACAGTATCGGCTGATATTGTAATATTTCCTTGAGAGGAAATGTGGTACATCTTTTAAGTATTAAAGAGACCATTTTTGGCCAGGAAAACACTTTGCTAATCTCATCAGAAAGCTTCAAAATGAAGTTTGAGAAGGGAGAAAAAATTCCAGGTAAATTGTAAGGGAACATCCTACAGAGTAAACTTATAGTATCATAGACCAAGATTAGAAAAGGACATGTCTGTAATTTATAGGAGAACAGGAAGAACAAATGTTGAAGATTCCTGCTGTTTCTGCATAACAAGTGTCAACAATATCTTGTCAAAAGTAAATACAGTCCTTTGGATGCCACTGAGAGTTGGGGAGAGGGGTTCATGACTAGGCATTTGAGTGCATACTAGAGGCACTGTGTTAAGCACTCCTCATTTAATCGTTATAAAAATGTTATGAAGTAGATGTATATGGTAATTTTTCTCCAATTTTAATGAAGAAACTGAGGCTGAAGAAGGTTAAGCATTTAGATCTAGTAATCAGCTTTTGACAGGCAACGTGGCAATGATATAACTTAATTGCCTTTGTTTACTAATTGTTTTCTTCCTCTCATATGCTGTGGCTTTCTTGATCCTTGACTTTTCCAGGATTATAGTGTGAGTGAGCTTGCTCACTCTCCTTACCTCCCTCAGAGAATGGGAAAGAGTGAGTCATGGTTACAATTGGCATGAATCTGTTTTGCTACTCTGTTAGCCACATGACAGTTCTACTTGGAACAAAATGACAACAAAATATAGCAACAGTTATCATACTCTTCTTCCAACTTCTAACTGATTTTAGCAGTCATATACTTAACTTTACTAAATTATCATCAATCATACATAGTGTCACTCATTTTTTCACTGTCTGCATCTCCACTGTCTACCTTCCATCTGCAAAGCCAACTTAAGTTTTGTATAATCTCATTGCAATAACACCTACAGCACCCCTTCCAATTTCTTATGTATTTCCCTATATTTATCATTTTATCTTGCACTGCATCCCCACTACCATATGCATTCCAGCCTTGATAAGTTATTTGAAGTTCCCCTGATGTCTAGTTCATGTCCCTTGAACCTCTCCTTGTCCCCTCTTGAAAGCTTCCTCAGTGCGGAGTTAGGTACTTGTCCTTTGTGTGTTGATTTACTTCAAGTATGTGATGATTTTTGGTTGTTGTTGATATTACAAATAAAGGTTTAGGTTCTAGACTCTAGGGTGTAGGTAACTGGAGTGAGTTTCCTCTAACTTTGTGCAGATTTCATTACCCAGTAGGCTCCTACTATGAACAGGAGGGCTGATGCTGAGCTCTGTATGCGTGAAGGGTGTTGGTAGGCAGGCTGTACTTTAGGGTGTGATGGAGGGGAGTGGCAGTAGTTTCCAGTAAAAAAGCCTTTTTGATCTGGGGCACCAAACCCATTGCAGGAGCTCTACCTGCCTCCTGCCAAAAGTTTAGTTTCTTTAGAGAGTGTTTCTTTGTTTTTAGGCTACATTCAAATGCAGCTGCTGCCTGTGGCCCTGTAGGCATGGGGATGGAAAGTGGGTGGGAGGAATTGAGTAGTTGTGGCCTTTCTATTCCTTAAGCGTACTTTTTGCTCTGTGCCTATTTCTGCTTTCCCAGCTCTGACCTTGGAGCCTCTCTAGAGCTCCACCAGAGGATGGCACATACATCCATTTAAGACTTCTCTTGTGTTTATTCTTGGGTTGTAGCATTTTTTGCTCTTGTTTATTCATCAGCTCTGCATAGATTTATTACCTTTTTCCCTATCATTTCAGTAAGGTAGAGTGGAAAGGAAGAAGCAAACACATTTGCCTAGTCTATCATTTTGAAATCCTGGCCAGAGGTTCTGTAGAGAACTTTGAGCATTTGTGATTTTAAGAATTGAAACAAACTTATATAATGAGTGCTTTATTGATTCCCAAGTCTTGATAGAATAGTTTGGAATGTTTATAGAATATGAAATTATTGTAATGCTGAAATGCATCATCTATTTATGAATAACTTGTGTTCTAAAAATAGTTATAAGGCTTTTCAGACCAAGGAAAGCCAAAGGTCCCTCAGGTGCCTGGGCAGGAGAGGGTTATGGGGTGGTTCCAGGCATTGCCATTAGCTACTGATTGATAATTGGGGCCAGAAGCAGGGTAACTCTGGCTCACATGATACTGTTTACATTCTAGAATTGGAGGGAGTAGCTTGTTTCTCAATGTAAAATTTGCTAATTTTAGGTCCTCCTTGATATGACATTAAGATAAAAGCTCTACTACCTGAGTTACTAAAGAAAAGTACTATATAGTGACTGTATAGTTAGATTTAGGTTGCAAGTTGTGTTTTATTTCAGTGAATGATGAAAGAATAATTTACCATGTCTTCTAATAAGAGTGAAAATGAATCTATATGCAACATTATTTTTATTTCTTAATACACTTCGGGAAAGTTAATTGCAACTGTGTGGTTCAGGGATTTAGTGCAAGAAGAAGAACAGTTGATGGAAGAAAAGAAAAAGAAAAAAGACGACAAGAAAAAGAAGGAAGCTGCTCAAAAGAAGGTAGTATATGTATAACTATTTATATTAAACAATTTAAATGTAGATTTACAAAGAAAATTACTCTTATTGGATTTTTTAAAGCATTTGATTTAATGTTTTAACTTCAGTGGAGATTCATTTTAATATTTAATGTCTTTAAATATGCATATATAGTAACTTGCCAAGTGTGTACAATTTAATGCATAGTTATTTAATCTTGCCCAGTAGTTTTTTCAAAGGTAAGTGCTTTATATAGGTCTTAATATTTTTCAATTAGCTGTTGCTAGGTTTTCATGATACATCATTTTATAAGTGAGAAGAGCATGGAATTTGTAGCTCCATAGAGAGGATTTGAAATCTGGCTCTCCCATATAGCATACAGAATGGTGTGGCCTTAAATTTTATTTAGCTTCTCTGGGCCTTAGTTTCCTTATGTTTTGAAAGTGAGAATTGAATTAAATGAGATAATGTAATATATACACGTAAAATACATGTAATAGGAAATAAAGTAATACAGGAATACAGTAATAAAGGAAATAGTAATACACATAATAAGAAATAAAGTGTCGATTTTCTTTTCACTTTTTATTCAGTACCTGGGCTGATTTTAAAAATTCGCAGTTTACCTTAGGATGTTTTAAAATAAGCCTAAGACATAATTTGCTGCAAAATATCTCTAGCCAGTACATCGTTAGAAACTGTAACTAAAGCAGTATAAATTGTGGAAAAATAAAAGATTATGTAAAGATTTTTACAAATTAGTGAAGGCTGGTGGCATTCATCTCTTACTATATCAAGGTTTCAAGGACCTTAAAAATGTTCTAAAAGACCCAGTGAAATTGCTGTTCTATTTCTCGTTTCTGTATTCTAATGAAAACTTACGGCTAATTTTTAATATATACCTTTTTTGTGCCAGGCACTGTGCTAGGAACTGGATATAGACTACAGCAGCATACTTATCTTTACATTATTTAATAGAGAAGAACTCAGGATACAGAATTATGGTAGGAAGGGAACTGCTCAGGCACACAGAGAAGTGCATAACTCAGCTTGAAATGGGGCAGAGGGACAGGGAAATTTTCTTAGAATAGAAATTAGCTAAGTGAATAAGCAGCAGAATAGAAAAGGATTCCAAGCAGAGTAAATTCAGAAGTGTCTGTAGCCTGTTCGTGTTCAAATAGGGTTTTCATCGGGGCAGGGGAGGGGCCAGGGAGCCAAGGATAGAAATGTTAGGGGATGAGATTGGAGAGTTTGGTGGTAGCTGTCAGCTCTTCTCCAGGTTTTGGCCATTGGGTGTTGGGGAAGACATGGAAGATGTTTTAGAAGAGTGACTTAAACGTTTGTGTTTTAGAATGTTGGCCTTGGCAAATTGTGGAATTGGATTGAAAGGGCTAGAAACACTAGAGACTGCGATACTGGTGAAGGCACTATTCAAAGAATCCACAGAATTTGTTGAAAGGATATGAAGGAAGAATAACCTAGATTGACTCTTAGGTTCTAGATTGAGTGACTAACTATATCTTGGGAACAGTTAACCAAGTTAGAGAATACAAAGAAAGGGGAAAAGAGATACAGTTCGGGTCTGGACGTGCTGAGCTTAGGGTATGATCAGTAAGTACCGTGGAGGGGCGGAGTACAGAGCACTGGAGGATTAAGAGTGATGAGATGATGGATGACCCTAGTCATAGGCCTTTTGGTTGCTCTCAAGAGTGACTGGGAAGAGATGCATTGGTAGTTGTCATAGTTAGGGTTTGGAATAGGTTTCTAGTTTTAGCATTGACGATGCCTTAGGCCTCTGTTAGAGGCCTATTGATATAGGATGGTCTTTACAATCTGATCAGTCTTTGCTGAGGATTTGTTATGAAAAAGTTGTGTCCTCTGTTAAGTCTAAGGTTGAGGGAAGGCTTATCAGATGTTTTTTGCATGGTGTGAAGGCCATTTACTTAATGAAAAGAGCTTCTAAGAAACTTAAGAGATTTACTGAGGAAGATGCTTAGTAATACTTTACATAGAATCAGTAGTTTGGCAAGCATCTAAGTGTTGGATTAGGCCCTGTTGATCCCTGCTTCTAAGAAACTCAAGATTTAGCTGGTAAGTCAGGATGTATGTGGAATGGCTAGAGAAGAGCCCTAAGGAATTATGTGCTGAAGCATGTTTATTTGGAATTGACCCTATTTACTGAGGACATTCTAAGAAAGGGAGGGGTCACTGGAATGATTTCTTTAAATATTGTATTTTTAAAATATATAATGTGAGTATAATTTTTAAGTTGTAACATACACAAATAATGGCTCTAATTGTTAAAGTTCATCTTTATATTTTTTCATAACCAAATCTCTAGATCACCAAGTCAGTGTCTTTAACACATGAATGATGATTTTTGTGCCATTTGGCTTCTCACCAAATCTGAAGTGACGGCTTTTCATGTTCTTTCCTACTCTATCCCTGTCTCACCCCGTGGTTGCAGTCTCTCACCCTGACCATGTCCTACTAGAACCATCATCAGAGGCTTAGAGATGTAGGGATTTGTTTCTCCTTGTGCTAGATATTCAGGATTGATAGAGTGTTCTTGTCTATCCCATAGATACGGTAATATCTAGCCACTGAACACAATATAACGGAAAGTCTAATACTGCTAATATCTTCAGTAGGCTAGCCTTCCATTGTAAATAAGACTGCTCTTCAGATTCCAGATAACCAGTTTACAGCTGAATTTGAATACTCTATTGGTGAAATAGGACAGCTGATATTTCTGTAGGCTTTTACCAAACAGCTATTAAAAAACAAAACAAAACTCCCAAGTTGGCACGCGTGTAGCCCAAATGAAAGATGGTGAGTCACAGGAGTTTTAAGACAAGTTTCCTCGAGCTTGTCTTTTGTCTGTAGTAGGAGCCAGCAGGTGTATCCAGGTAGGTGACAGGCATCTACATAAGCCAGGTAGGCAGGGCTGTTTATATAAATGTTGGAACATAAACTCACTACAGTAAAAACAATCTGCCTGTTTTATGTAATCAATGTACACTTTAAAAAATCTATATATAGTTATTTCTGAAAAAGACTTCAGATACTGTTTGTTCCAATCCATTCATTTTAAATATAAGGAACTCAAACATTAAAATAAGTGGCTAACCATGGTTTTATCAGGGTGACAGAACTAGGAATAGAATTGAAGTCTTCTAATTCCCCCAGCTAGTGCTTTTCCAAAACTTGGTGCCGTGGCTTTATCCTTTTGATACAGAACATTATCTTATACTTTTCCTTTATTTTTCACAATCTAAAGGTGAACTTTAAAGCTGAAAATAATATATTATGGTAATTTCTATAAGGCATTTAATAGGTCTTTATGCCATGGATACAGAACATAGATTTAACAGTGCCTAATAGCCATTGTAGTATTTTAAAGAAATTTAAATTCAGACCACAGGTTATTTTCTATTTTAAATGAAAAACTAGAGAACACAACTCCTTGTATAAAAAATTGGACACCAACAAGGCTCCCACTACAATATTTTTATTATGATAGTTTTTCTTACTTTGTCTGTTATTTAAATATAAATTTATATATTTAAATTCCTCTTTAAAGAAATTTTACACAAAAATTAACATGATTTTTTCATATATTTCAGCCCTAATACATCTCTGATTAATAATAGAGCTCAATGACTGGATGGCTTTGTTTTTAATTTTTGTTTTTTTTTTGAAAAGCCTTCTATTTCACATCTAAGTATCATGGCTGTTTACTTATCTTCTGATTCTAAGGCTTAGAAAATAATTTGATATAGCACAGGAATGTAGTTCCTGTGCTTAAAAAAAGGGCAACAATTGTAGCAATAGGTTGTTACCATGGATTTATCTCGAGATTCTGTTTTTAGAAGAAATTGCTAGAAGGCATCTTAGAGAAATGTAATGAGGAGGAGAAAGGAGGTTGAGAAATAGGGTAATTACAGAGGGATAATTTAGTATAACCTTTACTTTAAGCATGTAATTGTAGTTCCTAGAAAGCATATAATAGTTGAGGGCTGGAGGGAAGCAATAATACAAATTGGGATCTTATGGTGTTGAGAATGTTTTAAAGTCAATGTTCATGGGTATTTTTGTAACTGTGTTAAGAGCTGAAGGTACCAGTGTTATGCAATTGAAAAAAAAGCTGAAGGAATTTTTATAGGCTTTGTGGATTTAAATGTACTCAATTTGAGTTTAAATGAGACTTAGGTTATAGAAAACTTCCAACTTCATTTTTCTTTTTCGAAGTTTTCGTATTTACTCATCATGTCTCCCAAAGACCATTTTGTTCTGAGACTGGGATCATATTCAGCAGTCAAAGTAGAAAATTTTCTCCGTAGCCTAGGTGGTAATATACCCAGGCCTAAAGCATTGCACTCATCTAGGGCAGTTAGGTGTTCCCTTACAGTCCTGCCCCTCATTTCAGCTTACTATTCTGTTTTCTTTTTTTAAAAACTCATTTTATTAAGCAGACCTGAGTTCTGGAGTGGGTGCTGCTTGCTAAGAAGTCATAAAAAAGCTCTCTGACCACTAATTATCTCATTTAAAATAGGTGAATTAAACAATTAATTCCTTATTCCTAATGTTAGTTTCTAATACCTGGAACTGTTAAGACATTGTAGATGATTATAAAGAGAGAAAAAAGCAAGACTTGGGAACTGGGAGTGAGTTTGAGTCCGTCATTTCCCAGTGTGAGAGAAAGGACTGAGCCAAAGCGTGGGCAGGTGGAGCTGATCATAGCAGCAGCAGCAGGAAATATCTGTTGCATGCTGTCTCTATGCTAGGTCCTGTCCTGAGCTCTTCCCCCTCCCCCCAAGCTCTTTATATGAGTTAAATCTTTTTAACCTCACAACAACTCTGAGGTAGGTGTTTTTGTTCCTTCCTATAGATTAGGAAACCAGGCTTTAGAGAAGTTAACTAATTTTGACCGAGGTCACACAGTGTAAGTGGTGGAGCCAGGATTCAAAGGCAGGCAGTCTGAGCTCTTAACCACTGAAGTATGCCTAGGGATTGAGTTGTTGGGACAAGTAGTGCAGAGCCTGACAGAGGCAAAGGACCTAGCATGCTATGAGTCTGCCGCTTGTCTGATGCCTTCATTAACGAATTGAAGCAATGGTGATAATTGTTTATGGAATCACAGCTCAGTTTGTTTTAAAAAAAATCACAGTTTGTTTTAAAGAAAAAAAAATATTGAAAATGGGAATCATTTGGCTTCTAGATTTGCCAGAATCCTTTAATTCTGTTGTGCAAGAGGATCTACAATGATACCTCACATTTGAATAGTTTATAAAGTTTTCCCAGAAAAGATCTTTTTATATCTTACTTGAGCCTCATAATAGCTCTGAAAAGTAAGCAGTACAGTTTTTTTTTTTTCTCTCTCTCTTTGAGGAATTAGGAAACTGAGACCCAGAGGGTTTAAATGACAAGGTCATTTAAAAGTAAAAAAGAAAAAAACAGTTAATTTTAATATATTTTATATAACCCAATAGATCCAAAATATTACTATTTTAACATGTAATCAGTATACAATATTGATATATTTTACTTTTTTAAATACTAAATAATCTGATATGTATTTTATACATATCAATTCAGATTATTTCAGTGGTCAGTAGCCACATGTGGATAGTGGTAACCATTTTGAACAGTGCAGACAGATACTCTTAAAATCACTGACCCCACTTGGAAAATTCTCTTTTTTAATAGTTTGAGTAATATACTGGGTCCCTGGACCAACCACAAAAACCTGTTTTAAAGAAATGGAACTCTTATTGGTTTCATTTCCTCCTAATCAGTTAGGAGCTCTTGGGTTCTGTTGCTTACGTTCCTTCACTGTATTAGTCAATGTTCTGATTGGCAGGCACCTTCACGTGTCTCCTTTCTACCAATTCTGTGTAGATGACAGAATACTGAATGAGGTTGACCATTGTTCACAAGCAACATGGAGTTGTTTTTCCAAAGGACTTGCAGAATAGATATTCTTTATGTGGTAAGGCCTAAAAGAGCAACACTGTATATCTTGGGATTTAGTAATGTTGTTATGGTTTCCATGTACAGTAATTTAGTTTCCTTTGGAAGTAAACTGTGGAAGAGACCGGGAGAGTGAGAAGAAAAAAAAAAAGATTTTCAGCATGCAAAATAATTTTTGTGCTGATGTTTTTGACTTCAGAAAATTATGTATCTTATTATTTGACATGATACTTCTAATACTTCAAAGTGTTCATATACCAAGTTCTCTCTGATAAGACTGGTTTTTTTACTATCAGATTTTAAAAACAGTTTCTCCAGAAATAAGTGTTCAAGCTAGTTGACTGGTCTTTTGTTGTTGTCCTTCCATCAATTTTTTTTTAAATTTTTGATCCATATAAGGTAGAAGATGAGCCTCCATTATTTAACATTATCACTAGTGCTCTAAAACTTGGTGAAGCACTTCAGTGCCTAGACTGACTTTCTGGCTCTCTGGGGAAAGATGAATGTTTGCTGTGGCTTCAATATTAGAGTAATTGCCATATAGTTCTTTACCATATAGTTCTATAATGATATAATTCAAAAAATAGTAGTCTTGGTAACAATAATTTAATATGACTAAACAAAATGAATTATCATGCCCCATGGCAGTTAAGAAAAGCTTTATCTTCATTTAGAAACAATTCCTGGTTATTCAGTTTCTAATTATTCCGTCTTTACACACCTCCCTGCCTATCCTTGTATCTTTTATTTTTAGGCCTCCCATACAATTGGTCTTAATCAAAAAGTTGATTTTTGCTTGTGGCCTCTGTCTATAATGAGTTCTTTCTTTTTGAGGCCCTTGAAATTTGAACAGGCACCTTGTAGCCCTGCTGTCCTCAAGCCCCTCTCCCTGTTTTGTCAGAGACAGTGGAAGTAGGGGCAGGCATGGGAAAGCAGGGCTCCTGTCAGTTTAGCTTCTGGAATTTTAATGAATTGTCAAATGTGTCAGAGACAACAAATACGTTTGAAAATTTTTCCACTTGAAAATACTTAAAAGTTAAGTATGTTTAACTGTAGTAGCAGCCTAACCTTCAGGAGATAAATTTATTACTAATTTGGCCACAGCGGTTATATGCAGCTTTTCTTCCAGAAAACTTACTTTGTGTTTTATCATTTGAAACAAGACTTTTTGAAGCCATTTAAGCACATACATTTCATGGCTCTAATGAGTTTTGTAAAGGTGACAATTATATAAAAATCATTTTAAAACTAAATGGTGAGAAAAGCGCAGTCCCATTTTTAAATTATATACTGTCATACAGTGATGTCTTCTCTGCTTTGTGTCTGAAGAAACATTTCAAAATTTTTTTATCAGGGACAATGGGGCACATCTCTGGGAAAAGCATGCTTTCTTTGCATATCTTTTCCTATACAGTTCATCTAAATGACAAATTCCTTATTTAATAAAAGTGTATATGTCTTGTATAGTAGTGATATGTGAGCATTTTATCATAACAATCCATTTCTTTCAGTTTCATATTTACATTGTTTTTTGTTTGTTTGTTTTTATTTTAGGCCACTGAACAAAAAATCAAAGGTACGTTATTTAACGCTATTTTTCATTCTTTTTTCCATTAAAGCAAGGTTGTTGAAATGCATTTTTATTCTCCTCCAGGATGGGAGAGAGAAGAGCATGAAAGGAACAGAGGGGTGGGGACAGACTTCTTCAGTGACACCACCTTGGAGTCATCCTTTGGGGTTTATGGTTTATTGTGGTGTATATTACCACTTTTGAAATATACTGTCTCAAGACCTACGTTAAAACTGTCTCTTAGGATGAATGACGCTTCCTAACATACTCCCTTAATTTGAGTCTTTGAACACATGTACCTTTCCTTCAGTCTTCTATCTAAAAGTCTTCTTGTCTGGGGCTCCCTCTAGGACTCTTACCCTGTCCCTTGCTTTATTCTTTATTCTCTGTATGTTGTTGTCCCCCACTCCTTCGTATAGGCAGACAGTGACATCCACTCTATATTATCGCTGAGAATAGTAGACTGCTGACCTTATGGTCATTTTGCCGGGTTGAACAGCTCCCAGTACATACCAAGCAAAAGATTTCAGGGTGTTAAGGAAGTAGAAACCTAATTCCTCTCAGATTCCAACTCAGGAATTCTTCACCTGTCTGGGTGTTGACTACCTGGTAATGAAAGGTGTAGGGCTCTCAGATGCTGAACTTGTTAGGCCTAATGATTCTGAATTTTTACTTTTAGCGGTATCAGAAGTCTGATCTCTGCAATTTGGTTGATATATGCAGTCAATACTGCCTATTTTTATTTAAGGTCAGCATTGGTTAAGGTAACATATATTAGGTGCAGTTGTGTAAGAGTGAGCATGAACAGTTGTAGCTTGTATTTTAGTGGAGAAAGAGTAGCAATGGAAGGACACACCCAAACACAGGACAGTGTAATGTGAGTGGTTCAAGTGAGAATGCCTAAGTTGTCCTGGAGCAATAATTAGCTTAACAAGGAAGTCTTAAAGAAGACTTCCTTGAGATCATGAATCTTAAAAGATGAAACAGCCAGTCAGAGAAAGAATGAAATGGCAGAGGGATCAGCGTGATTGAAAGCGCAGAAACAAGAAATGATGCGATGTTATATGCAGTGGTGGTATTCCTAGAGCACTAAATACCCAGGGATAAGTGGGCAGGGCTGAAGGGTTTTTCTGAAGAAATAGGTAGGGGTCAGGTCAAAGAGGACCTCATATGCTATATGTACCAAGAAGCTTGGACTTTTATAGGCCATTAGCCACTGAAGAGTTTAAGCAGAGGAGTGAATGGTTTGGTTTTTCGTTCTTTTTTAAAAGCTGTCAATCGCTGTACATGGAAAGTGTTGGCTGAAAGATGGAGCTAAGAGAAGAAAGGCACTCTGGGCAGAGGAGGCAGGTGGACAAGAAGAGGGACTGTTCAGAGAATGGAGTTTAGGGGTGTTGGGGGGATGTGACAATATAGGCCTGAAGGTAGGGGGAAGCAGAGGGCTTCGTGTTGGTTAGAGTGGAAAGCCAGCAAATGTTTTTGTATTTAGAGGTCATTGTCATAGCTATGCTTTAGGAACATTTGTTTGTCAGTAGTGTCTAGTGGCACCAATAGAAGCAGTACCCGAGAGGGAAGAGAAGAAATAGAGAGGGGTAATGAGGATTTGAACTGAGGTCTTAGCAGTAGAGATAGGAGATGGATGACAGATGAGTGAGGTATAATTGACAGGGTTGGCAACTGGTGAGATCAGAAGAAGAATTAAAGATGATATTGTGGCTTTGAACCTGGATGTCTAAGAAAGTTACAGGGATGTGGAAGGATGTAGGGAAGAAGATTGCCAAATAAATTTTCCTAAACTGTACTTTCCTCACACCACTCCCCTATATGGGAATGTTAAGTTGTCTCTTGTTGCTCTGCTTCAGGATCCAACTCCTCTGGTCGGCTTTCAAGGCCCTCTTTAATCTGACCTCCCATGATCTAACCAGCCTGCTTCCTGTCACTCCTTTTCAGAGCATTCTTATCTCTTTCACATTCATTCTTGTTTCTGTTTTCTTTCTCTTTGATCCAGTTTCTCATACAACAAATGCCTTTCAGCATTTCCGAACGTCTCAGAACTCATCTTCTAATGGATTGCTCTAACTGCCGTTGATCCCTCCCTTTCCAATTGCTTAGGGTGTTATGAGGTATCTTAAATTTGGGGCACTTGGTTATATTCTATCTTAGATTTTTGACTGGCTCATGGATATTTTTTTCTCCACTGTCATCTTTGGGTACCTGCTGTTTATATCCTTTCAAAATGTAAATCATCCTTTTACATCCGTACATGAAATATGAACATATTTGAATCTTCTTTTTAGATTTTCCACAATTCTGAGAATGTTAGGCTGAGTATATGAGTCTTTTCAAAAGGCATGATGTTGTTTTGCCAGCTGTTTCACTCACTTCATCCTTCTTTTAATGGCAGCTCCCTTCATAATTGGTCACACTTATTCTGATTCATGAAAATGTATTGTTTATTTTCATGCTGTGTATAATATCTATGTGGTATTTATGGTTTGCATTCACAATGATTAGAGATTATAAACTGGAAGCTTGTGGGACGGGTTTGGCCTACACAGTTGTTGTTTTTTGCTAAACTTTTTATTTTGGAATAATTTATTATTTACAGAAGAGTTGAAAAGATGGTACAGAGAGTTTCCTGTATACCCCTCACCCAGTTTCCCCCTCATTAACATCTTAAATTTCTGTGGTACATTTGTCAGAACTAAGAAACTGACATTGATACTAACTTGAACTGCAGACTTTATTTAGATTTCACCATTTCTTCCAGTAACTTCTTTCTGTTGTCGGATCCATTGCAAGATACACAATGCATTTAGTTATCACATCTCCCCAATTTCCTCTGCTCTCCACACAGTGTTTTTATTATTATCCTTTAGTGTTTTAATTGATTGCCAGCATTTAAAAATCCGGAGAATCCACCTAATCCAGAATTGCAGTTTCTCTTGCAGTTTTTACTGTCAACATCATTTTTTGTCCTTTTGTATTACAGAGTCTATATAAGGCCAAGTTTAGTCACATGTGGCTATCAAGTAGCTGAAATGTGGCTAATTAGACTAAAGAACTGAATTTTTTTTTTTAAACTTTTACTTATTTTTTATTTTTTTTTTAAACTTTATTTATTTTTCCCCCCAAAGCCCCAGTAGATAGTTGTATGTCATAGCTGCACATCCTTTTAGTTGCTGTATGTGGGACGCGGCCTCAGCATGGCCGGAGAAGTGGTGCGTCGGTGCACGCCTGGGATCCGAACCCGGGCCGCCAGCAGCGGAGCGCACGCACTCAACCGCTAAGCCATGGGGCCGGCCCCTGAATTTTTAATTTTACAGGACCACGTAACTCTAGAGTCTTCTTGATTGTTAAGAGTCAGATTGAGTGCTCAGACTGAGCATAACTAGTTAGGTTCTAGCGCTCCGTATAGAATTTTGCCTTAAAGAGCTATTTCTTTCTAAGGCTACTGCTGTTTCCTGTTAAATAACACCCACTAATGTTGCTGCCACTCAGTGGCTGGCCTGATGACATAGTGGTTAAGTTCGTGCACTCTGCTTTGGCAGCCCGGTGTTTGCAGATTTGGATCCTGGGTGCAAACCTACACACTGCTGGTCAGGCCATGCTGTGGCGGCGTCCCATGTACAAAATAGAGGAAGATTGGCACAGATGTTAGCTCAAGGACAATCTTCCTCAAGCAAAAAGAGGAGGATTGGCAACAGATGTTAGTTAGCTCAAGGACAATCTTCCTCACCAAAAAAAAAAAAACAAAAAAAAACTAATGTGAGAGTAGGGCTTCATCGGTATGTACTAGCATAATAGAAGTCTGCATTTAATCCCTTCAGCAGCCGTATGAAAGGTAGATAGTATTACCACCATTTACAGGTTAAATCGAGGCTAAGAAAAGGTAAGTAACTTGCTTATTGGTTATACAGCTGATGAATGCGTGAGCCAGGATTTGACTACTAACTTTACTGGGCTCTACTGCTCCTTCTTTGAAAACAGCCCTGTAGTTACATGGAAGACAAAACAGGAAGGCTTACACCATTGTCCATGCTTTAACAATATTCAGTGAATGAACTAAAACAATGCGTCTTTTAAAAATATTTCAAGAAGATTTTTTAACTGATTTTATAGTTTTCTCATTTGGTTGAGCACAAAGAAATAAATAAAAAATTGTGTCACAGACATAATTTTGTGAGTCAGGGAGGATTTGACAACTTTGCAATGTGTGAGTTGGTTGGCTTTTCAGAAATATTAGAGAAAGCTCTTAAATTGTTTATTACATCTTTGAGTGTTGATGAAAAAGAATAGGAGTTTTGAGAACCAAGCAAGAAGCTGATTCTAAAAGCTTTCTCTATGCTTCAGACCTCTGTGCAGTGAAAACTGATCCCTTTATGGAGCAAAACCTGACTGCTAATTAAGTTTGAAATGTCTTGCTTCAACTCTTTAAGGGAGTTGTAAAGAGACTTTTGATGAAAAAACCACGTAGCCTCCATTTCATGTGCTCTTCAAAAGGATGGAGAAAGCACCTTCTGAATGGCTTGGGCAATAGTGAAGTCCCTTTCCAGTATGCTTATTGACTGTTAAATTTGATAAAGTCATAGGACACAGTTTTAGAATACTGCTGAGATGACTCAGTTTGAGTCAAAGGAAGAAAAGTGTTTAATTTGTCCACAACCCTGTCATTAGTAAAGCACTTTTTACTTTTTCTTTTAATCATCATGGCCAATATCAGCCATGTTTCACGATCTCATGAGATCATCTTGGGAAACAAAGATAAATGAAAAGTAATTGTGTAGTGATCCATTATCCCAAACTTAGAATCCATAAAGTGCCCTTGTTTTCTTCATTTAACATTCATGAAATATTTATTGTGTGTCAACCCTGTTTTCACGCACTGTTGTGGTCCCTGTTGTGCGTGAACAAAACAAAGCCCAAGTCCTTGTCTCCACTGCGCTTCCATTCTCTTCTCTGTTTTAGTTTAGTAAGGGTAGATATATTTACCTTTGATCTCAGCT